CCCCAAAACCCCAAAACCCCAAAACCCCAAAACCCCAAAACCCCAAAACCCCTTTTTTAAGGTATTAAATAGAACTTCACTTATTTTTAATTCAAGCTTACTGAGCCAGCTTGTTCGGAGGTTTGCGAATAACAGAAGCAATCTTACGCTTGAGTACTTCAGATTCAGGAACAGATTCGAGGACAGCATTTGAAGGTGACGTGTGCTGATTCCGAAGCTGAGGGAAGTGATGAGTAGTGTTGGTACATCTCTCATTTCTTATATGCTTTTTAGTGAGATATTTCATTGAATGAGCTGTTTCACTCAAAGCTCCAATCTTGTCTGTTTGAAAAATACGATAGATTTTTAGCTCTTGCTTGTCGTTTCAAGTATTTTTAATCAACTTTTCAAAAAATTTATTACCAAGAGTTTGCTTGAGTGTTTCTAATGCCTCTTTAGATTTCTCTCTCACTTTCTCAGAAGCATCTTGTAGGAATGAAGTCAAATAGCTCATTATAGAAATATTGTCTTTAAATTTCAAAATCTTTGCTCCTAATTTCATAACAACAGTCTTGAGGACTATTAGCATTCTGACTCTGATCGTCGGTGATTTCTTAAATGTCAAGGAACCTAGAGCACTCATCACCTTGTGTTCACTACAAGATTTGGCTGCAGATATCAACAGATCAGTAGCTACTTTGGCCAGAAAAGTGTTCTTCTCAGCTGCTTTCTTCATAACTGCTGGCATAATATAATCTAGATCATTGTCTAGCCTTTTCTTCAAGACTTCAATGACATCTTTGAAGGCGATCAATGCATTCTTAGCGATGCTACTTCTTAAAGATTCTACTTGCTTGACCATCCCTTGCATGAAGCATTGTAGAATGTACGAATCATGCAGCAGAATTTCTTTGTGATGTAACACAAGAGCTCTCAAGGAATTTCATGCATCAAATTGCTTTTTCCAGTCACTACAAGTAAGGTCTTTAAAGACAGTTTTGAGAGCTTTTGAAGGAGACTTCAACTTTTGGATGTCCTCCTTCCTCATATATTTTCCTTCGTTTTCAAGCTCAGAGTCTTTGCAAAGGAGCCTGCTAATTCAAGCCTGAGCTGCAGCATCCATTTTCTTTGTGTTCTTCCTGGTCTGAGTCTGGTTCTTTCTCTCACGGTTGATGATCATTCTCTTAGAAAATCCGCTGGATTCATATTGAGTAGCAGTTTCGGAGAGGTTAATGTACTATACTTATTAAAGGAGACTTACTTCTGAGTAATTCATCTTCTCAGCCATTGATTTTGTATTAAAATGAGACTCATGAATATGGCCACTCGTATCAGAAGTCTCTTCCATCCGATTGTGCAGATTTATGCTATGAAGAGAAGTTTGGGTTGCAGAAATTTTACTCAACCTATGACTTGCACCTATGCCTCTTCTATTCTGTATCTCATTTGAGAAATTATTGCCTTCTTGCTTTGAACTATTTTTGGTTCTCATAGTTTGTTTCAAGGCTCTTAACCGTCCAGGGGAGAAACTTGAGGATATCTTCTTGGATAGGATATAATCTGTATAATTCAATGTAGAGTTATCACCCTGATTATTAGGAGATAATGCCTCAGAAGAACTAAATATAATCAGAAATAATACTTTGAAGATATTTTTCTAGTTCCTGCTCTTTTCTTTGAAGTTTCTTTGCTTAACTATACTGTTATCAAGCATGATAAAGTACCAAAGCTGTATTTGAAGGTTTATTTCGCATCTTTATTTTCCGATTTCTGATTGTTTTCGTGCTCTTTTCAACCTTCTTACTTCTTGGTAATGAACCAGAAGAGCCTTGTGGTAACTCTAAATTTCTGATCTTTCTTTTCGAAAAGTCTAAACTTTTATTTTCCAAACTAGTCTTCAGTTTCTCAAAAAAACTTACAGAATCAAAAGGTTAAAAATTAGCTTGAATGATATGAAAAGCGTACTTAGTTTGATTTTAGATATCCCTTTCAATCCTAGATTGGGCTGGTTCAGCTTAATTTTCTTCAAAGACTTCGGTTTCTTAGGATACTCAAACATTAATTTACTCTCATTAAAAGTTACAAAATTATTCTTTTCTATAATTTCTTTGATCTTTAAATACTCATTGTGTATCACTAGATTGCCTAAAGTATTCATTATTTTCTCTGTTTTGCCCTTTAAAGCAAGCATTGCTCATGCTTCTCTTGCCACAAATCTGACTTTAGAGTGATCATCTGCTACAAGAATGGCTAATTGACTCACTGTGTGCTCAATATTTAGTGACTTGTCAATCCCTTTGATCAGACAGATAATAAGAAGATTTAGTATTTCTTCCTTAACTTTCCAGTTATCATTATGTGCATATGAGAGTGCTTGCTCTACAAAGATTTTGCTAGGCATTGATTCAATCAAAGCGATGAATAACTTCATTGCTTCTCTTCTTATGTCCAAACTTTCTCCTCCTAGGAACTTCTTGCAGGTACCAAAAATTGTAGTGAGGTTGTTAACATTTTTAAAGCAGCTTTCTTTAACTAAGATTCCCACTATTTGCAATACCTTATGTACTCAATCGTGATGCTCAAGTAGATTTTCGACCAAATTTAGGAAGGACTTAGAAGAACTGAATGCTTCTGATGGATTTTTAGTAGATCTTAGCTCTGATAGCATCCCATCTAGAAGCCTACTCTTCTCTTCAAGAGAGATTCCAGGCTTCAGAAGTCCCTGGATTATGCTTTGAGAGAAAATACCGAAGACCAGACCGTTTTCTGATAGAGGGATTAGAGACTTTGGACTTATCTTCTTCTTGTCTTTGATGCAGGAGTCGTTAGATTTGTTCTTTGAAGGTTAAGCAGAGTCATTTTGCCAATCTCCTCTCCATTCTTTGTAGTTATAGATGCCTTTTGGGCTTGAATAGGCTCATTCGAGGGAAAGTTATTGGGAATTTTCCTTTTACTTTCAAGTTTAATGTAAAACTCCTTTGCTGATAGTTCTTGAGAAGTATTTGATGATTTAATTATCTTGTTAGCATCATTCATGATTCTTTTCTTGTCTTCTAGATGTATTTTCCTCATTACATCCTTCATTGTAATGGGGAATCTTGTAAAGAAATTACCCAAAATATCGCTTGCCTCTACAGCTACAGCTATTTCAGGGTTCTTCTTCAGGCTATTAAGAGTAGAAATAAACTCAACAAAAGATTGACTATCCTGGGAGATAATTGTAGGATGAAATTCTATATATTTCATGATCAGCTGTATCACCTTGATCATTGATATGAGATGTTTCCCTTTAGCATATTTATTTAACAAATAAGTGATAACCTTAGCAAGTTGTGAATGACTACGGACATAGTTGTCAAGCACCTCTTCAGCAGCTTCAATGACGTCCTCATGTCCAGTAAAAATTGCTCCAAATACACTAGGGAGGAGAAAATTGGAAAATTCCTTATCAACTTTACTTCCGTGATTACTTTCTAATAAAACATTGTGATAAAATTGTATACCATAATAAGCTCTTTCTCACAATTATTTAGAGATAATATTGAGGAAGACCTCTTTTAATTGTGGGAGGAAATCCACCTCCAAAACTCCATTGTTTAAAGCCATCTTGTTCTTCACTAGTGTGAGGTATGTCTTTAGGTCAAAACTTGAGCCAACTCTAGTGTTGTCTTTAACCTGTGGAACTGACATTTTATAAAATATTATCAATTTTTACCATGAAAATAGGGGTTTTGGGGTTTTGGGGTTTTGGGG